GTTTTAGTTTTTGGAATGGTTGGCTGCTTCTGTAGATTCAGCTTAGAAGCCCTGAAGTGATTGCGATTCACGGTTTCCAAGTTTAGCATAAAGATTTATTCATATTTGATATCAGTCAGCTAAGACAGAAATGAATTTTTTTTACTTAACGGCTTCGGCCTATGACAGTGGTTTCCTCTGGCTGTTGTAGGTACATTTATTTATGAAAGTAAGATAAGTTAGCTTATGGTATCACTACTGCTTCTCCATTTGACTCGCAACAGAGGTTTTTTTCGTAAGTTTGGAAATTGTTTATTAAAACTTGTCACTGATAAACTAGATTCCTGTTATCTTGACACTGATGATACATTTTTTCTGCATCAAAAACTGGAGAAGGACGAAAAACTGAATAAATTTAATGATTTAAGCCCATAACTCGTTTCCATTTATGCAGAAGAGCACCAAGAAAAATTATACTTTCTAGACATTCTAATGCGCTGAAGAGGTTATAGGTTGGCTGCCTCTACAGGTTAGTATGTGGACTCATTTTGCTTTGCACCTATCCTCTGCGGAATCAATTTTTTTAGACTGCTCACAAATAGGGCAGGGAGGATTTTCTTTTTTTAAAAGCGACCTAGTTTACATCTACGCCATTTTGATCAAGACATGCTAACCTAATAGATTTATTACGATACACACAAAAAAGTAGGCGATAAGGTAAAGCCAATAACATTTAAAAAGCGACAGTTGTTTGCGGAGCTAAATTTCAAGTCGGACGTCGCAGGTGAAGGTCCACACCAAAGAATGTACAGAGTAGAAAACCGTCCTTAGACTTTAGGCAGTCAGTGTTTATAATTTTTCAGCCTACGTTTAAGCATAAGCTACCTAGCTGTATCAATTCTTTGCGAATAGACGAATTTAGTTGCTGCATCAAAGAGACTATGTGTAACGGATAACTAGGCAGCTTAACACTTTGAATACTTTGATTTTTCCACAGTAAAAGGTCAGACAAAATCGGAGAGAAGTTCAACTTTATTTTATCTAGTTGACGAATAGAAAAACCCGCGTTTACGGATATTCATCGTATTTTGAACGGGAAGAGATCTCTTCTTTTATTCAAAATCAAAGCTGTATGGATTTTCTCGGGTGAAGATCTTTCTTTATTTGTTTCTTCCTTGATCTAGGTTAGTTTATTAAATAAATCCGTCATTGAAGCTTCTCAGCCTTCCTTATTCTTCAGCCCTTTCCTGCACATGTGAGGTTTATTTGGACCTTGATTATTTATCCCCCTCATCTTCAGTATTACGTGGCTTTTAATTATATCACATCTTGGCATCACTTAATTTCTGAAACTTTCATTTCATCATGTTATCTTCACTTTTTTATTGTAGATGCCTGTACCAGCTAACCGTACTAAAGTTGTCGTCGATATTGTTAATATTATCACTGTTATTAACTTTAACATTAATGGGAATTAACATTTATCACCGACTCAAATATCATAGTTATTAGCTAAAATTTCCTATATACAAATGAAACATCAAGAAGATCTTATTAAATACAATATTGTTTATTTATGCCTTGTTTTAATTTCACCGATGGGAATATTTAATAGGTTAAAAACACTATTATCCATCCATTCGTCTTTATGCAAGGTACAGATGTTTTGGGCTGAAACAACATAAAATAGACTATTATAATTTAAGTATTTTCTTAGAATGAACATGTATCATTAATATGAGCTCATCAATGCAATGGTAATTTGCCTATGATTTAATTGCGTCAGTGGCACAGCGTAGAGTGCTCGCCCGCCACACAGGTGATCCGGGGTTCGATTCTCGGCCACAGACAAACTCTTTTATCCGGCCAACCCAGTAATAAGACTGGTTGAAAGAGGGAAGGTTGGGCGTGAGGATAGTAACCCAACTCCGTAAAAAATAAATATGACTGCTACTGAAACTTCAAGCCTCTAGTTTGAAGCCCCATGTTCCACTGGGAACATAAAGGAATAAAAAAACAACTTTTGATTTACTCAGAGAATAAAGAAAATAGAATGAACTGTCGTACAGAGCGAATAAAACCACAACTTGGATCTGAGTATATGGTTAACTTCATTTCAATGATCACCATCACTATCACACTAAATGCAACTTGCGAATATTAACGGTATCACAGACAAAATTATTGACACTAGGGTATGTATAGACAAATTCTATCAGATACTTCAAAAAATCAATTAGCATTTGATATATTTAGGTTTGCTTAGATGTGATTAAACTACACAGTCACTCTTTGTTCCTTACGTTTTAGAGATACAGTATCTAGTTGTTTTGTTGAAACCTGATTGTTAACTTGTGCTAATTTATTGATAATATGACATTTGAGGCGCACACATAGTTGTTTTCTCTGTGATCTTGCTATTTAAATTATTGGTAGACACTGTTGCATGAGATGCTTTACTTGCACAAAGTCGCACTTTTATTTGTTTAACTGGGAAAATAATGGCGTTTCAGTTAGAAATTATTCATCATGAGTACTATCCTTTTGTGTATAAAATTTTCCACTTACTCACTGATGCATATATGTTGAAATATATTGTGTTGACTTTACAGGTGAACCGCATAAACATGTTTTCATTAGAAATATATATCATAAACTTACAAATTTTGATCTAAATTAAACGAAATAAAATGGGTTTAACTCATCTCCAAATGATTACTTTTATCCTGCAAAGTGTTTGAAATGGGACTTACTATGTTGAATGAACTTTCTATTGGTAATGAATAAGACAGCATGAAGTTGAATCGCAATAGAATTCATCTACAAGCTGCTTGTGATTTTGTGTAATCAATATAATACATTTATTCCCCTTAATGAATTTGAACAAAGCAAAAACTACAGTTTTAGCAGAATAAAGTGGTACTATCTTTTATTTCGTTGCCTTCTCATCATCTGCTTACATGGCAAAGACATTATTAAATATATCTACAACAACAATTTTAACATACTTGCACAGAGTTAAGTTTAAACAAAAATCAATCGGTCAATATACGCATACACTAAAAATATATACATATATAAATATGCAATATTAAACACTATTCCGAACAATAATAATCATGCACAATCGAAACTTTTAGCATTTCGCATTCGGAAGAAAGAGAGGTGAAATTATCCAGTTACCAGGACAAAGAAAGACTGATAACCGCTTCTTTCTGGACGCATAAATCAGGTTTCAGGCGCTTGATGGAAATGGCTTCAGCAAACTTAAGTAGAATTGAGCTCTTTTGCCTACTGATAATTTTGAAGGACTTTTCGACGTCCACCTCATGACCCATGTCGAGGAGATGCCTGGCGGTGGCACTGTTTAAAGCATTTGTTCGCTTTAGACGTTAGCTTTTTGGTACATGTTCAGAAAATCGTAGATATGCCCTTCTTTCTGTCCTTTGTACACACAGTTTATTTAATAAACTTTACATAACGAATACATATTTATAACATGGAGATATAAACTCCCGGGCATTCAGTAAATTTAACTGTTTGCTGAGAATATTAGTCGGCTAAATTCTTACTAAGTTGTAGGTAATGTAGTCTAGAAGTATTAGAATATTAATATAACTGTGCTTTCTCATTTTCATAAAAGCTGTTAAGAATTTTGGATTTATAAAGATTTTGGTCGATTTTAATGTGGGTTTGACCACACCCCGACATCAGTTACAAAGTTACTCGTAGTTAGGGGTGCCAGATGGCTGTTTCTTCCTGTTATGGTGCCTTCCAACGGTGCGCATGAAAGACTCTACCAGAGGACAAACTTGAGACCGTTGGTTTACAACAAGATCCCTTTCGTAATTCAGTCGCTGATTCGGAAACTGTTAATCCATTAACTGTGGTTTTTTCGAATAGTAGTTTAGCTGCATCACCAGCCAATTTCATTCTAGGTCATCTGTTTTACAGCCGACATAGGTATCCCACTGACCGAAACTCCTTATTGAAACTTCAGGACATTCATTATATTATCCCAAATGATGCATTAAGATAAACACTGAAATTATTCAAAATTCCATGCGCGCTGGTGAAGAGTCAGTCACACACTTGGGAAAAAATACTTACCTTTTGCTGCTCAACTTTCCACCATTCTCTGACTAATGGTGGCTCGTAATGGGATCCGCACTGAAAATAAAATGTAACGATATACAGCTCAAAACTCTCTGTATACACAGGTCACTCACTGTCCTAAAATATTAGTGATTACAAGTATGTTCAGTACTCTAAGTTTTCACTGGTGAGTAAGTCAATATCCTCGAAATTTATAGATGGGTTCGATGATTAAATTGAATTCGCCTCTGAAAATTAATTCATAACTGCATTACTTATGAGGTTAGTACTACTGCTAAGATTAACATTATTTCAATAGGGTCAAGAATTTGTGCCATTAAAAAGTGGTCCGAGGAAAAATAGCATCCGTTTATCTTTTTAATAATATGAATCCATGTAAAACTGATAGTCGAAAAATATTCGGCTGCTTTTCTCTTCTAGTTATATACGTCTTATTAAAGATCACTCACAATCCAGTGTTGGACACATTGTATATTTTGATGGTGGATGTATAGATTTCAAGACTTTCATGTTAGTTTCTGCCAAAAAGGCTTCTTCAAATAATTCAGTGCATATTCCATAGAACAGTTGGCAACTACGCACTACTCTTGTTGCATATGGTCGTGATTGCGTAGTTAAAAAATTACTCATGTTGTATTACTAATAACTACGGAGAAACTCCAGCTAGCAGTATCCAGAATGTGGTTTGAAGATCTGGAGGTCTTAGGCAGAAAATTTAGGCAAATACATTTTCCGCACTGACTTCACGATGTCATTTTCAATTTCGATTTTTCCTTCCTTTACGTTCCAAGTGTAACATGTAGTCTCAAGCTTAGACATTTGTGTAGAAGCGATGTCACGTTCTCCTCCATTACGTATAAAGTGCCTGCTTTAAAACATTCGTCACCTTATTTTTTAAATTTTAGACTCCTGGGAAAAGAAAATCAGATCAACTGCAGTCATCAAATCCCAATGAACTACATTTTACCGCGGAACAACAGAATATGATACTTAAGATAGAAGCGTGCAACAGGTAAAAATCCTTCTATGCCTGAAATGTAATCCCGTGAAAGTTCCATAAAAATCATATTTTCAATACTTAAGGGTTTTATTACTACCCTTTTCATATTTCCTTACAATCTAACTTAGAAACAAACTTAGTGAACACTAGTAGTTTAAAAAACTAGTCAGTTGGCAGAAAAAGCGTTATTCATTGACCTATTTCCTTCTAAAAACTACTTAAAATCCTACACTTTTGATAACCACTAAGAGCCTACAGCACACTAACAGTATACACTTGAGTTGTAGTCTATTATGAATTCAGGTACAAGGTGGGTTTTACCTCTAGTGGTTGCAATGAAATTATTACTTGGTTAGACGTTGCGTGCCCCTCAGTAGCTTCCAGTGTGCTAATTCAAGTTACAACTCAGATATTCAAATTACTCATTATATCTAAACCAACTGATGTGAACAAAAACAGATTCGCAGAAAAGACCATTTCAATAATTATAATTATTCAACTGGCCAAAGGACTAATTGAACAAATGCTAACACTTAACAATTCAAAATTTGTGGAAAATAAAGTTTGTCTGACCTTATTTGTTCCCTATAATTAATATATGAATTGCTTGAACAAATTTCATTAGCTCAATGACATAAGACGTAAATATTTAGGACTTGGAGCATAGCAACAGAGATTAGGCAAAAAAGGTCAGATTGATTTACGTCATTAATATTCAATGGAAATAATTTCATGTGGAAAAATCCTTCAAACCTCCTCAATCATGTTTCATTGAATGAGGTCTCAAACGGTCTGTTGTATGAGGTCTTCAAATTCAAAGATATTTAAAACTGATTTTCCTACTATTCGAAGAATTCTCCTGCCTGGTAGATGAGTCAGTATATGCTATGACAATTCAAAAGCTTTCGAAATGTACCTTGCTGACTGACCACCTGTCTGGAAACTGTAAGTCACTGTAAGAAAATTTCTGACTCAAAATGTTCTTGGGAATACCAGAATTCATTTTTATACGCACAATTATTGTTTGTTTACTTGACTTTAGCAAAATTTGAGAAATTGGATATTATAAGTAATTATGTGACTGAATGAATTTCACTCCAATTTAATGAGAATTTGAATGACTCAGAAGTTACTTCCAGACCTTACTTAATATTAAAATATTTTACAATAAGTATACTGTAAATACACTGCATCGGTGGCACAGTGGCAGAGTGCTCACCGACCACACAGGTGATCCGGGGTTCGATTCCCGGCCACAGACAAACTCTTTTACCTGGCCAACCCAGTAATAAGACTGGTTGAAAGAGGGAAGGTTGGGCGTGAGGATAGTAATCCCACTCCATAAAATATAAATATGACTGCTACTGAAACTTCAAGCCTCTAGCTTGAAGCCTCATGTTTCACTGGGAACGTAGTTGAATAAAAAAGACACTGTTAAAATTATCCAACACCCACAGTGTTTGAATGAATTTTCTAAATATTAAAATATCGTATTTTTTTATTAAAAAGCTTTATCATCCAGTCACTGAATTATTCCTGCATAGATTAAGGCGTCTTATTAGATTTATTTTAGGAAAATCCCTTTTTTTCAGAGTTATTGAGAAAATTAATTAATTCAGTTTTTAAGCGACAGTTTTACCAAACCATATAATGCAGTGGAAATAAAGGGACGGGTAACCGAAGAAAAAGATAGATGTGTATATTGCAACAACACTGATTTTTCCTGAATTGTGAGTCTTAGGAATCAACTGTGTGATGTCAAGCTAACGAATTATATACGCTTATTCGTTGGTAAAAACGAAAACACTGAAAATGCTTACATTTTGCTTCATCAAGGTGTAGTAATAATAATAATACCTTTTTTTTTCTAAAACTTTCAGAGAAATTCTACAAGAGATCTACAGACTGCAGTCAGAAAGTGTGAAAACTAATGATGCTATAAGTCTGCTGAAAGAACACGCAAATGTTATACAGACGTCTTGTCTTTCACCAAGGCTACCGCAGAGAGAATTTCCCACATACCCTTCAGTTGTTTGTAATAAGAAATCCAGTATATCTGGTTCTAGTACTTCGTCGTCTGGCATAAGGGATAACAGTTCCACTTGTGTAAATGATGACAGTAGAGTAATAAATTTTACACAGCAAACAGTGAAACGAAATGAAGATCAGATAACTAGACAATTAGAATTACTGAGAGATCGTCAATGTCAACTGATGTTGAAAATAGAAAGTTTGAAGGTAAATTTCTTCGTGTAATTTTCAGACATAAATAATTTGTAATTATTATTAAAGTAATTCAGATAAGTCAGCTTCATTGTTTTATTAACTTTGAATAGTGTTTTGGAATTACAAACTATTGGTACATACTAGTAATCATGATTCGCCATCTCCTACATCACCAAATGATCGTATTCCTTTCGTATATGGTTTCTTAACAAGAAAGCTCTCCAGTGGAGCTTCGAATCCATTTTTGGTGTAGTTTGTTTAATAGTAGTTATCAGAGACATGTCGTCTCGATCCAAAAAATGAACTCTATGAAATCATTCGCTCTTATAAATAACAAAAAAATGTTTGTTGCAGAATTGTTGACCAGTAAGGCTCAGCAACGTCTACAGTTTTCGGAACGTCGACAGACACGTTTAGGTCTCCGTGGTAACATATTCACTTATTAAGTGTTGGTAATATAAAATGAACAGTCTTAGATTTTAAAAAGGCCCCATCCGCACTCTAGTGCCCTCAACCACCTATAAAATGACACCAGCATAATATAATATAATACATAATATAATGGTTACAGAAGTACATTTCGTACACATGCAGTTTGCTTTTACACGCATATTCATGCTTTGCTTGTCTTTTGAGTCTAACTATTAAAGCCGTTTAAAGGTTCAGTTGCATGTTTGAATGCAGAAGGATGAAATAAATCAAAATAAACAAGGCTTTTAAAATGGGCGTGAAAACAACATTATATTTTTAATTCCATACATATTGAAAATTGACGTTGGTAAAATTTCAAAAAATAATGTGATAACCATTTAACAGATGGGCGTGGCAGACTAGTTTAATTTAGCCTGTATTCCTATATATAGACTCACTAATTTCTCAAACAGAAATATGACGCTCAGATATTGCCAATAAAAACTACATTTTTGGAGGTTACTTTCATCAGTCCAGATGGAGTGACACTATCGTTATTGGTAATCTCGTTATAATGTGCCTAAGTGTTTTTTAGACGTGTCATTTTTTACTGAAGTATGAAATCTCATTATATTCATGTCTCTTTTTCCTAGCTCTTCAAGAATACTACTAGATTCTACATTAATAGATTTGAGTTATCATGAACATTTTAAATTCGAACTAGATTGGTGGTAGCAGTTTAAGCACAGGATCACTTTTGCCTATTCTTGTATATCATTAGTGTCTGGTGATTCATACTTGCTGTATGTGTACAGGGTGATAGCGAAGGCAGCTACCATAAAATTAAAGATTATTGATAAATATGTTCACTTAACGTTGTAGTTAGATGTATTCTCATGGAAGAGTGGAATATATTTTAACTTTTTCTGATTTGTTATTTAATGCTGTCTAATCAAGTACATGTAGATGCAATGACAATAGGAGAGATGTTTGAATTATTCTCCCTACTGTAAGATTAAGCTCGCCTAAACTGTTACCCTAAAACGTAGAGCTACCTTTTATTGAATATATTTTGAAACCATTTCTTGCATTCACATATGAATACACTTCAATAAAATTAGTCGCAGTTCCAGTCAGTGAATGACCAATGTGACTCAACTTTAGAAACGTCTTTTCAAGCCCGTAGAACCTCTCTGAATTTGCTTTATACTTTATTGTTCATATTTCTGTCCCACATTACTTCAGAGATCAAGATTTATTCTAGTTCACAATATGCACCAACTCCTTCTAGCGGCAAAAATGCAAAAAACCAAGCAAGGAAATGAATGCTGCAACAAGAAAAAAAGTGATACATTTTGTAATGACTGTAACCGAGAAACTACATTTCCCCTGAAGAATAATGAATCGGATCAGAATGAAGCTAAGTATCTATTCAATCTGACCAACTCTTTCCACGATTCTACAAGAATTAATCCTGAAATAAGTCGCTCTTATGTTGATCGTGAGTGTCAAACAGTTATAGATTCAGGATCAAGAGATGACTTTAATATGACTAAAACGGACAGTGGGATATCGCATAATTTAGGTGGCTTTTCAGAATCAGAACAAAATCCGACAACTATTTACTCAAATAATGAAAGAAGTAACTCCACAACGAATCCCGTATCAAACAATCAAACTAATATGTCCGCTTTAGCAATGGTAGCAGCGGTTACAGCAGCGACAATCTTTAGAAAAACGCTTCAACAATCAACTAGTCAAATAGCCAACAATTACTCAGAGATTTCCGGTAAACACGATTCCATGTGTCACAGTTACGTGGAAAATAAATGTTCTTCAATAAATACAGAAAATCCTAGATGGAGAGATTATGAAAGACTGGAAACCCTAAAAGTGAGTTTTTGTGCATAGGTAGAAATGCTAGTTTTTCTGACTGATGCTTGTATACCAATTTTGAGTAATATTTCGATGCTGTAGCGCCGAAATTACACCAAATTTAGAGAGGTTGTCCATTTTATAGATCTCATATTAAAAATATATATAGATTACGGCGCATAATTGAGATTGTAGAAAGAAAAAGGATTGTGTTGAGGTGATTGATTAAAACGATAATTAAATTTGACACCAGATTTATATATACTTTTTCAGTAAGCAGGTGAACTCCTAACCAAAATCATAAACTACCAACACACTCAATTAAGAGAAACGTTATTATCTCAACTGAAAAGAACAAGTACCTTGTGTACTAGTTTGTTTTCAGAATTTTGATCAAACCAGAGAATGTATAAAACCCTACAAAACCTTATGAAATTAAATGAATCAAACTTGGCCCAGAAATTGCAATCAGCAGGAGGTAGCCCGAATGCTTTTTCCCTTCATAATATATTTCTCCCATGAAGCAATAAGCTTTGAGAACACTCGAAAATCATCAGTGAATATCTGTTATTTCATTTAATTTATCTAACCTCTCTTCTGTCCTCTAAAGTTCAAAAAGGTCTACATCTTGGACACTATTAAGTCACAAGCACAAACATCACATGCAATCAGGGTGTCACCCTTAAAAATAGAAAATAATTATAATATAATGGGAAATTAAACTTTTGCAGATATCCGTAGGTATAAACTGTATTTGAGTTAGTACAAGATTATAAAGAGAAAATCGGAAAAGTATGTGTGCTATTTCTAACCTAAAATCTTCGAAATGCCTCCACATAAATGGTTTACCGAATGCATTTAATAATGAATGTGATTGTGCGCACTGGTCAAAACAGATATACAACAATTAAGAACATGCAATGAAGTGTTTACATGACGATTGCCGAATGACTGGTAATAAGTCTACTTTCTTGGGACTCACTGATTATGCTCTCAGTCGTCAATAAATATGGCACTATGCAAGGGAAGTTAAGGATTTGCCGGTTCTAGACAGAATTTTTCGTCTGCATGGTTATCATTTTTATGCTACCATTATTTGGACAGTACAAGCCTAATAAACAGGCAAGAAGGATTACCACCTGTCATAATGAGCCATTTCATTCACGCATGAGGAAGTTTGATTGAAAAATGAATTGTTATATGATTTATCTATGAGTGAACAATATTTTATGGTTAGATGGTTAAAAAAAGATTAAGCAGATATATCGTATTGAAAAATATTTTTGAGCTAAAAATTTACACTCAGTTTGTATAATAAAATGTACATCTATCAACTGCTTGAACAAGATTATAAGATTATCTGTGCATTGAATCGGTTTAAAGACTTACCCCTGGTTCAACAGGTATCTCTTTTGCATGGCCCTACAAATATGTACACAGAATTGTTGAATATATATATAGTTCGTGAGTCAATAATCTTTGACTGGGAACTGACTGTTTTCCGGTTAGTTAATTTGTGTTTTATGTCTGAAGGTGATAAGATGTTTGTAAACTGGTTTTATATAATACCAAAGTCACTAGCAAAACAGTGATTTGATATATCCTCATCAATTAGCAAAAGCCATGCAGTTACGATGAAATAATCTAAATATAGGCATAACCTGCCTTTTATCAATTTAGATGGGGTGATTTGGTGGTGAATTGCATTTCCCAAGTCACATAGAAGTTATGTAATTCATACCACTGAAATAATTTCTCAGATACATTGATGAATCACTAAACCAAACGTTTAGGTAGGAATAAGCACATTTTGTAGCCAGTTAAATATTGTGTGAATAAAAGCCTCAAAAGATAGTCATGATCTGAATGTATTAGCCTATTTGTTTTTTTATTTTTTTTTATTTTTATTTACAGCTTGATTCCACACTGTATTTTTGGTACAAGTATGGAATTTTCAGCATGGATATCGGTAGCCCAAATTTTTCAGGCCGACCATAGATATCAGGTGTGCGTCGGCGTGGGCTCGAACCTCGGACCATGTGCATGGTCGGCGAGAGTCCTAACCACTGAGCCACCGACGCACAGGAGAAACATTTACTTCCCTTATGTTGGTATGGGTTCTGACGGATGACCATTGTACAACCCAGTGACCCAAATACTGAAAAACATAAAAATAATAAATTATAATACAGTTTGAATATACGTTCTCATTTCAATATATTCACGAAGCATAATCAATAAATACCGTCATAAAGTAAGAAAAAGTCGAGAAAATAGGGGATCAAAAGAGAAACGTTTTAAAAAAGAGTATTACAAGAAAAATAAAGAGATTACTGATTATCAGGTGTTAAGATTCTCCGATTACAGGTGAAGTTGTTTTAATTTCCCACAAAATATTCTCAGAATCCTCCTACCTTACCACTAGTGGAAAGCCGTCGCACCCTTATTATTATGAATACATGAAAATATAAGATAATTAAGTCCATGATGACCTCATTATGTCATTCTTATTTCTTTCCATATATATTGTCATCTCAGAAATTTATTTGTCCGGATGCTCATGATCAACTAAACGGCAAATGAGACTTTAGCAAACGTTTTTCACTTAACTCCTTTGTAATAGATGGACAGATGTATTCCGTATGATCACTGGAGAATCTGAGTAGATGATATTGATAACTGACAATATATGCATTTATAGCTTTTTATCAAAAAGTTACTTGTCACTATTAGAATACAAATACCTTATAGCTCTTTGGTAATCTACAGCTATCAAAGTCGGATTCTGTGCCACAATTACAGGACTGGAGAAAAGTAATACTCAGTTTCGGTCATTGTGATTGTATACATCTCAGTTAAGAGTGGACAATAAATCTGGTATTTCAAGAAAAATGTGACCTACCTTTTGCATTTATGCATTTTGAATATCGATATTCATGAACATGTCATAAAAAGCGTCATGATTGTTTAATACTCTGATAGTTATTATTGCACTTAATTTCCTGCCCTTATAAAGAAAGCTCGCAAAATAAGTAATACGCCTAATTAAACCTTTTATGTAACTTCCTTTCTTTCATCCATCAAAATAGAAGAATTGCTTAAATGAAGTATCAGAGGCAGATGATAATCACCTTAGTCAAACGCTGTTTGACCAACTCACAGAAATCATGGACCGATTCGATCTATCTTCACCGCCTCCGCCAGCACCGAATTCTAGTCTCTATGGGTTCACCGACATCAATCCTTGTAGCAATTACGCAGATGTTAGATACAAACAGAACAGTAATTTACAACTCAAGAACACTTCAAGTGAAGAAGAGTTTGATTTTTCATTAGAACCGGATTATTTTCAAATTGGGCAAGATAAGAGTAAATTGCCTCAGAGAATTTCACTGGAACATTATGATGCAGAAAGTAAGAGAGATGATGAACCGAAACCATCACTGAATTCTTCTGATATGATAAGAAATACAGGTCTTAATGTGTCACGTGAAAAGTTTTCTGATCGTCTTTTACGTGCTCGCCAAGCAATTGATTTATGGGAATGTCAAATAAATCGTAATTCTTATGAAAAAGGAAGTCATGTACCATTCCCTGATGTCGGACAGAATCAACAACTAAAATTAAACAGTGACACAAAAGCAGCTACTCTGCCCCAAGTGTCATCTTCATTAAATGCGAACTTTCCCACAAGATGCAACAGTCTCACAAATAAGTCACAGATCAACGAAAGAATCGCTCCTTTTCAAGGTTTCACTTCACTTGATACACATTCAAAAGCGAAAACTAGTTATCAGAAGGATAATCTGTCTACATTACATCCAAGTTCGTCAAAAGCTATGCCAGTCCAAATTGTCAAACCTGCTGTTCGAAACCAAAATATAAATAATCCGTACAAGGACAATGATGTCAAGCAATCAACAAAAAATTTCGAAAACCAGATTACAAATCACCAAACACAACCACTTGAAAGTCATCAGCAGCAAACACAAAATAATAAGCCCAATACCTACGTGGACAAAACGTCGAATAATGATAGACGTCAAATCAAAGGTGTACTAGTGAGTGAAAATTCGAAAGGTGAAAGAACCAGTAGAACGAGCAGGAACCCGAGGTATGTTGTTGCCTTTCAGAAAAAGGTATTATAAAGTAACCTTCGAATTTTATTCGCAAAAAATGTCTGTAGAAGTTCTAAAGAAAGAAATATTATTTTCAGTGAAGCACAATGCAGCAGAAAATATGTCTTATGAAAATGGTGCTCAGTGATCACTATATTTCTTAGCTTTTTTATTTTAAGGAGGCCTATTTTCTTCAATTAAAACCACAGCGAAATGAAGAAAACTGAATTTTATCGTAATCATTTAGATCAAAAGGTTTTCTAATAAGGTTATACTGAAGATTTTGGATTTTGAGTATAGCAAATAGTCTGGAAGAAAGTCTGAAGCATGATGACTAAAGCAGTGGTATGAACAGTGGGATAGGGATAGATTTCATCACTGTAACAAACAGATTGAAATACCAAAAGTTAGGGTGTGGTTGTTCAGGATGGAACACCATGACACCAGGACTGATCACCTGGTTACAGTGGAGCCAAAAATAATTTAGCCGTTAGGTCTTAACGCCTAGTGTATTTTAACTTCTGTCGAATTCATAAATTACTTAGTTAAACAGAATCGCCTTAAATCACTGCTGTGACGGGTATCTAAACGACGCTGTATAATATCTCACTGAAATGGCTTAATAAATGAAAGGAAATCAAGGAAATTAAAATCACTGCAAATTAGTTTTGAAACAGGATATATTGCCAGCGTATTGTGGAAAGTTTTATCGATATCCTGTTATATCCCTGTGTTTGTTGTATTCTTACGCTAACTATTATTTTGTAGTTTTCAAGTGAATAGTTTCACCAATACATGCACCCGGATTTTAATGGAACGCGTATGGTTAATAAATTCTGCATTTCAGTTTGCTTTAATGCCATTGAATACTTTATATAATTCTTCTCGTTATGAAACTTGAACAGGGGAAGAACACTAATTATGGTAGAATAATTTGCACCCAATTCTGGTACTTTGTTGGCTGTTTTCAACTGCCTTCAATTTAAAAAGTATCAAAATGCACGAATTACAGAAATGGTTTCAACACACCCTCTTGGCTTTGATAACTGTTTATCCACATGAATTATCAGTAACATAAGTTTGGAGCAATCTTAGTGGTCAAATTAGTGAATTTTAGAAGTACTGATTATAAGTAAGGTAGTTAGACAAATATTCTTGGAAAGGGTATTCAGAAATTTCGATAGAAAAAAGTTTCAACAAATTGAGTACTTGAATAATCCATAAATCATCATCATTAAGATAAAAGTATGTTGAAACCGTTTTTGTAATTTACTTAAACTGGTTGAAAACAACTGGCGCAAGATTAAAAATGAGCTCATATTATCTTGTTACATCTGTAATTCTTTCTTCGGCCACATTCCGTAAAATAGTTAAATTCTTCCAAGTGCTTGGGAGGAATGTTTCTACAGATTTTAAATAAGGGACATTTTATTGAGAGATATTTTATTCTTTATAATCACCTATTCTTTTAACGTTAGGATTATCACTAAATAATTAGGTATTTTATTTCAAACTCTTATTTAAAATTAAACTGCTGCAATTGGAGTCTGAATAAGAATGATCTGTTTCATTAAAATATGGAGAGTACTGATGTTTACGACATATGTCATAACAAATATCAGTCGTACATACATGAGACATAATCACTTTCACAGTTAATTTCTAAATTTAGTCTTTATCGAATATGCAAATATATGCCTGGAGGTGATAGTCCTACACAAAGTATTCCCTGTAATAGATAAACACGATAAAATAACTAATATTTGAGGCTTATATCAGTTCAGAGTAAATTTTCCTGGTATGTATGCACGTACATATGTATATACATGTAAATTTATGATATGATGTGGATAGAATTATGTCGCCTTTAGCACAGCACAATCCCAAAATGAAACTGTTATTCCTCAACTCGAAATGTTATTACGCATTTCATATGCTCCCTTAGACGAACGTTCTTTGAATAAACTGTCAGACTTACAGACAATTTAGATTGTACTAAGGGTAATTATTAAACAATACCAGTGGTCACAGTTTTTATGAGAGCATTTAGATGTTAATAAAGATAAACGTAGCAAGTATAACATACACCTCGTTCCAAGTACAGAGTGTAAAGGGAATATAGGAAGGCGAACATCGCATGAATCTTGTTAATCTGTTTATTTTATTATTATACTTACTGAGATGTTAAGTATTGTAGAGTCACTTTGTTGCTTATCTTTTTTCTTTTATTTCCAGCATACAAAGAAGTGTCGCTTGGGTTGATGAAGTACTCTCTCATCCTCTATCCAACAGTTCTAAAGTCGAAGATTTAGATTCCTATGAGAAACAGGAAAAGTTCAACAATACGACGCAATCGGAGAAGTCACACAATACCAGTGAAAAATCTAGTAATAACTCAAGCCAAGATGGTGAGCGAAATGTTTCGTCGTCAACTAAAAAATCCGATATAACACGTTCCAGTCGTTTGTCAGCATTAAGTTCAGCAGCCAACTCAACACGTCGATTGCTTCCAAATTTAACAAACACCAAATTGAACGATAGGCAACAGTACAAATAGAATCTTCTCATATTTTTGATATATTTCAGTTTATATTGCTATTCAGATGTACATCAATTTCAAAATCTTAAGATTTACTTAATGTACGCAGGCAAAGAGCTTATAACTTACTATTCAGTGTACGTTTTTAATAAAATGCACGGAGATATTATTAAAACATTTATTTTCTAACTATCTGAAATTATACGAGATTAACAGCATTATTTAACATGAGTATTTTTTACAATTTGTTTATATTTGCTTCTCTGATTCTTTGTGTGATTACTGTTTTTGGCCTAATTTCGTGATGTGAGAAATAAATGTATGTGCCAAAGAGTAGCCACAGGTTGTAATAGCCCCATCAATTATACAATCATAAATACATAAATGTCATGTAGTGGGACAATAATCTTCGTTTGGATATCCATGAAGCTTTTTTACTTTATTGTGAGTAACTACAAAAAAGTCTTTCAAAGAGTGATGATGATTTATTGGCAAATACTGTATCCTGTACATTAAATAGCCAATCGAAATAAACATTACAACAGTAATATTATTCATGATAAATAATGAAGTGATAAATAATGCGTTTTGTAAAAAGTATAATAAAAATAGCCTATGACTGTAGGCAGTTCAGTGATTCTAGCTGGTGAATTTGTAAGAGAGTTGTGATGAAGGAAATGATATACTAATTTCTAATGTATGAATATAGACAAGAGGCTAGATGATGACTTCTATGGTGAATTATGTCACTAAGTTATTATTAATCAAACAGTTTATTAGAATGCAACAAATCTAGAAACTCAAAAAAGATGTGGAATTCAGACAAATCCGTTATTCATGCTCTGAAACAAAATATACTTTGATTTTAAATCTAAATCTTGATTCTTTATGAATGGGATTCAGAATTCCTGAGGAAAATTAGCCTGAATATGTCAAATTTCAAACTTCGTTGACATCAAAGAGCATATAAATAAGTTAAAAATCAGAGGTATGCACGAGTGGACTACTCATACCAAACTCCGGTTTTCACTGGAGGACGAACTTTAATTTTAGTCTTGTGTGCCAAATCAAGGGAAGAAGTTTCGATTTTTTCGTGCTTACAAACTAGTGGTATACTAGTCATTTAATATTTCAGCAGAAACATCTGTACTCGCCAGGTTTGGTGGAGAGCAAACTACATAATTTGGTTGATTAGAGAAACACAGTTAAAAAGACAAACGTCGTGAAATTCATTCATTGGGTTTCATGGAAACATTTAATTAGGTTTCAAACTATTTCTCTCTCTCTGCTTACAAGTTTAGAAATGCTAATCAAGACTAGTAGAACAAATCCACTGAGGCTCCCAATATTGTTCATCTTCAGTCATCATATGATTAAATTTGTCATCTTGCTTTGACTCTTCACCATTCATTTCATATTCTGTATTTTAGACTTTTTCCGCTTTTGAAAACTCTGACATTAATTATTGATTGACACAACGTACACAATAAGCAAACGAACTAAGGTGATCCATGTAGTAGCCAAATTATCTATACCTTATCTTAACGCACCATTTATACAGATCTTCGTGTTGTGTCTCTTTGTGCCGTTTTCACGTCTCTCATGTACCTTCATAGCGCTGCATCATCTACCTTCTCTGAGATCAAAAGTATCTCTCTGTTATTTGCTGTTTTTATGCCGACGAACGTCTATATATACTATTGATAAATCTTATCAGTAGCACTCGCCACAATGAGGCTTCATCTTTCCAGCCAGGGATTACTCTATAACACAAGCGTTTGTCTCATCTTTCATGTGAACAGTAATTAGGAGTAACGAAAGTGGGAGAATTATGGACGCTGACCTTACAAGTAGGATTCAATAAAATCCTCTTTCAATGATAAATGAAAGAATAAATGTGGGTTAATAAACACAATTTTAACGAGGAGTCAGGAAAATATTCCAATCTATTTCATGTTACCTTAAGTAAACGTTCAATTGATCCCTAAGATTATACAGGAGTGTCGTCTGTGAAAGCATAATTTTGAACTTGGAGAGGTAAAAGCTTTTTTTCGTTCGGATTTCACAAGTACTGGCTAAACATTCAAGTCAGCAGAACACGTTTTAGGGTGTTGAAAAGTAAATAATCAATCTCTCAGTGATAAATTTTAAGGTTGGCCTCTTATTCAAACAAATAATTTCTAAGTTGGATCACAGACTGGCATCAGTTGTATAACCACAGAAAACCAGAGAGTATTGATCAGCTGTTTCGTCTAAGTTTAAGACAAGTAACATTTCATTGATTTACAGTTGGAGTCGTTTAAAAATCCTTAATATCTGTGATACTTTATATTGAATATTTTATGTTCTTGATTTTGATAATGTCAACAATATAGTGGTATTTTCATTCATAATATTTAATCATTATGATAATAAGCTAATCTTCTTTTGGACAACAAATGTGCCTAATAACCTCAATTACGTCAGTCACGATTGCTGATAATCATCCTCAACTGGTGTAGTGTATGCTATTCTATTTGATAAGCAGTAACACACCAACTATTTAACTATTGATCTATGCTAGTTTTTCATATATATATATATATATATATATATATATTACGTAGTTTTGACGTTCATTCTCTGGTGACGAAATATTTGCTATGACCATTTAAATTTTATTATTTATGCGTCAATTTGCAATATCTATCCCAAATGAACTAAATGACTGCTGATATCAGCTTTTAATGCACATTATTAATTACGTTTGGATTTCCACATTAAATGATTGTAACATCTGAGTACTGCAACAAACTTTTAGTTGTCTGAGTACACTTTAATCTGGTCGTAACACGTTTTGTGTAAATTTGAACGGCCCCAAAAAAAGGAACTCTTATGCTATCATCAGTATCATGAAAAATTACTTGAGCAGCGGTAGAGGTACTGGAATTAATCATAACTCAACTGGTCAGCTAAACAGTTTAAATACATCAACAACACTGTCTTGGTTTCCAAAATCTGTGAAATACAAAACAATTTGAAAACCTCAGACAAAAGATTCAAAGTAATATGATACGCCAAAGAAGAAGAGGAAGAAACGGAATAGTCTTCCTAACTGTGCTCATCAGGAAAACTAATGACAGGGAATTGTAAACATAAATATATAAGAAGTACACATAAATACCCTGTCGTAGTAGAATGGATTCATTGGTTCAATCAAAGTTTTTTATACAGGCTACTACGCCCCATAATACCAAGAAACACTTTAATAATCTGTTAGAAACAACTTGAGCAAAGTGGTGATCAGACTCGAAACTGCGTCAAAGTTGTGGTTGCCCCGCTAAATGTTTAGTTTGCCATCAAAACATAATAAAGGTAATTACTAAAGTAAGCAAGTAGTTTGTTCCCGAACAAAACTATAGGGTCAACATTATCTATATGTATGTATATACATAAAGTTTAAACTGCATATGAAGTCAGGGATCTGAATAGTCATGGCTACAGTTTTTCCTGGTTATCACTATAACGATATGTGATGAAATTTGGCAGCCAGATAAAAGTGATCAGGGTTTTTAAATGTGTCGGAGGAAGGCTATCAAAAGTTATACGA